CGCTGCCACCTTCATTCCTGCTTGGAGAAGTAGGTACATGAGATCAATGGTTCTCAACCTTTTTAGACTCAAGACACCTACATTAGACTCAAATGAAAAAAAGTGCCAGTTCCTAGTTTTCACTTGTTTTTTGACCACAGAAAACTGAGAGCAATTTTTCTGTTGCAAATAACTCATTTTAACAGTATGGATTCCTACATGAAATCTCTGGGTTTATCTCATGAATCATGTTTGTACATTGAACAGTGCACCCTAGTTAAGAATCACTGAACTGCATGGATCAAACACGGAGCAAATGGAACACTTTTCAGCTTGACTAGAGTCATGGCTGGGCTCCCCAGGTATGACCAATTAAAAAAAGCTGTGAGAATATATACATCTTATTAAAAGTGATGGATTTTTTTTTCCCAGGGAACTGAGCCCTTGCTCGTCTCCAGATGGAGAACACTAGCCCTAGCGTGCACCCCCAGGCGATGAGGCAAATGACGAGGTGATCTGAGAAAGCATGTGGCCTGTAAATCACTGAGGAGAGTTGGCCTTTAAGAGCAAAGATATTCTCAACCTCAGCTATAGGAGAGTCCCACATTATCTAATCCCTTTAACTTGTACTAAGCTACGTGTCTCAGTAACATTATACAATAGTGAATTCCACACATTGATTATTGTGACAATTTGGGGTCTCCTCCTGTGGCTTGAATGAGATCTCAAGGGTCTAGTCAAACCCCTTGTGCAGATGCAGGGTTCACTGGTCCTAAACCATGTGAGATAGATGCTCATCTAGCCTCCAAGGAAGGAGACTCCACCACTTCCACTGTAACAGATAAGGAGCTATTTATTTCATATGCTTACAGTTATTTCCTGTGCTATATAAGTAAAGAGCAAAGGAGTTCTATAATCCTGTGCAATGTCTGTGCCTGCTTGCTTTCCTTACAGCCTGTTCCTGAAGAGTTAGACCCCAGACCAAAGAGTTCTAGAAGAGGATGTGCTTGAGCTACAAGAAAGCCATATAGGTTGAAATCACGTGGAGTGAGATGCCTAAGTGGGCCTAAATGACTTACCCTAGGTTACATATGAAGCCCGGGGCACAATGGAGAGCTGGGTCCTAGTCCCCAGGCCATCATCTCTGCCCAAAGCACATAGTCCCATTTACTAAAAACAAATCCCTATGTGATTCCTGCCAGTGCCCACACACATTGCAGACTTCAAACAGGCATACCCTTGATTGCTGGCTGAACAGTATTTCTGCTGGCTAAGGATGCTGCCTAAGATAAACAGCAATGAAACGTATCGCCTGACAGACTCTTGGTGGCACTCTGGTCTGATTAGCACAATGCACAAAATGCTTCTCTTCATTTTTTATTCATAATAATGATGGTAGCAATGGCCATTTGTATTTCACAGGAGCTGGGCTGGGCCAGACAATGCTGTTCCAAGACTCCCCAGCTTGAGAAGCCAGCACGTGGGACTGAATGCCCTGGGAACTGTAGTTTTATGAGTCATTTGGCAGAGAGATGACCAGCCACAGCTGCATCAGAGAAGCCTATCACTTCTCTTAGGTGAGTGGGTTTCAACAAAGATTACCCCTTGTTAGACTCTAGGATCTGCTCAGAAAATGCCAGCTCTTAGTTTCCACTTGTTTTTTAATTACAGAAAAATAACAGAGCAATTCTTCTGTTGCAAAGAACTTGGAAATACTATGGCAGGGCAGAATGGTTTTAACACTGTGAATTCCTATTTGAAATCTCAGGGTGAATTGAATCATGCTTGCACATTTGACAGTGTTAACATTGTGTGGTGTCCATGGCACCCTTGGGAAGAGTTCAAGGCACCCCAGGGTGCCACAGGAACCCAGCTGTAAGTCACTGGCTTAGGCAATGAGGATTGCAGGAATGCTGCTCCCAGGAAAAGGATACCTGGGTGAGGAGGGACAGCCCCGTATGAGGGACTGCAAAGGACTGTGAAGCCTAGAGGGAAGGCCCTAGGGAAGGAAGGATGGGGAAGTTTGTGGAACCTAGAGAGGCAGTCTGTGTGGATCCCTAAGTCAGCTCTAATTTGGAAGAACTAAGGGCCTTGTCACACGTTGCATTTTGCATGTTTTAAACGCACTTAAAATGCAAGTGACTGTGCAGTCAAGCTATGAAACACTTGCAAAATGCAGGCTGATCCACAGGGATAACACAAGCAAGTTGTGGTCCTTAGCCAGCCATGACATCAGCCAGGGACCCCTCTGCTGTACCAAGCCTCCAGGTGGGACAAGGAAAACCACACATCAGGAGGAAGGATCCTGGATTTGTCACCTGTCAGGTTCCTCCACATTCAAGTTGAAAGCCAGGTGCTTGCAGCCCTGGAGGGTCCCAGCCCCAGAACTGCACCACAGCTGATTCAGGACTCTGGTGCAGCACCAGCGCTGGGACCAACAATCAGTGAGCTGTGCATGTTGAGTGTAGTAAACATTACCATGCCACTGCCCAGAACATAATCTGATCTTAATTTTGCACAGATTTAACATGCACTAAGCGCCCCACAGGACAAACCCTAAAGCTGGTGCAGAATGTAAGTTGACAGTAATAAGTGAGAAAGGGAAGAGTTCCTTGGAAAGATCTGTGGTTGTGCTCTGTGTGACAGTGAAGCAGGTTACACAAAGTGCTGGACTGGATAAGTCCCTCTACAGGAACCTGTGCAGCACCTCGATGGGGCCTATCTCAGGAAACATTCCTAGTCAGGACAGTGTTGCAAATACCCACTTACAGGTAAGCCCAAGTAGAAGTGCTGTCCTGAATGGGAGCTCAGGCATCTGACACAACCTGTCCCACTTGCAGTAACCTAGCTAGACTGCCCAATTGCACTGGCACACCCTGCTCTATCTTTTCTTCTCCTAAACTCATGCCTGAACCTGCGCCCCATGTTCTCTACGTAAGGTGTCTGTCATGTTCTCTCCATCCTCTGTCTGGGCCAATTCAGGATTGAGCCCACCTGCACATCCTGCTGGGAGGATATACTCGTTCTGTTTTTGAACCCTCTTTGTCCTTGTGCTCTGTGCAAATCCTGCTGGGTCTTCAGCCACTGAGGGGTGATGAAAGATGAGCTCCAGCTTGGCAGGGTCAGTACTGCAGCACGAGCCCTGTGTGCAGAAGCCCCTGGCCCCTCCAGCCATTGTCAAAGAATAACCAAGTGCAATGATTTAAAGCAAAGCACGTGCTCCCTGGAAGCACTCAGAATGCATTTAAATCGACCCCTAGACTCCTTGCTGTGATAACGGAGGCAGACTCCTAAACATAGGAGCGCTGCCTTGTAATATCACTATTTATTCTGTTCCTGCCCGAGCATTCAAGAGAACATTTGCAAGCAATAAGCTCACCAGCAGATGGCAGTCACTGCAAGCCTCTTGGCTTTGTCGTACTGGAACTTCCACAGCGGGAGGAGGGTGCCCAGCTGGTCCCGGTACTCGTCAGAGGCATCCTCGAAATATTTGAAGTCTGAAAAACCAAAAAGGAATGGCTGCATTCCCAAGGAATTCACCAGGGGAAAGCTGGAGAGAATTCCTCTCCCCAGCTCCTGGACGGCCCTACCTGTGGTCAGAGCCCCAGCTAGCCTGTCCCCGTACACGCAAAACATGGCATAGTCTCTGCCCCGAAGAGCTCACAGTCTAGAGAAAGGTGGCAGGCTCAGGCTGGGAGGGGAAATGGAGGCACAGAGGGGATTTGACGGTGGGGGTCTACTACAGACCCCCCAACCAAGAGGAGGAGCTGGACAGGGAATTTTCAGGCCAGCTTGCAGAGGCACTAAAATCAAGGGATGTAGTGGTCATGGGCGATTTTAATTACCCAGACATCTGCTGGGAGGAGCAGTCAGCCGGGACGGACCGCTCCAGGAGGTTTCTGGCTGAGATGCAGGACCTCCACTTGATTCAGGAGGTGCACAGTCCCACCAGAGGAGATGCCCTGTTGGACCT